TTCAATTCAAAATCTTCGAGCGCTTAAGATAAAATGAAATGCACGCTGATACCCCCCCCCCGGTTTCCATGGATCTAGAAAGAATGATTCTGCCAATGCTAATAATAATGGGAAGTCACAGCTGCGTGCGAAAATCCATACTCCATTGCACCCAGATGCAATGTCACCAATCGAGAATGGTTCAACGAAGCCTTATTGCGGCTTATGCCATTATTATTAACATCTTCATCTTCATCTTCCATCGCCGCTTCTCCTTTCGGGTCGCGGAGGCAGACGTTTCAGACAGAGTTTCCAACGTCTCCGATCCTTGCCAGAGTCTGAACTTCGGGCGTGGAGTCTGGAACAGACTCCTTTCATACATTTGCACCAGGTTAATCTCGGCCGTCCTCTGAGCCTTCTGCCGGTCGGATTTGCAAGGAACCGTTTCTTAGCCGTCCTTTCTTGAGACATTCACAACACATGCCCAAACCATCGCAGCTGTGATTTCTTAATCTGGAGAAGCAAAGGTTATATTCCAAGGCTCTTCCGGGTGTCACTATTCCGGACCATGTCGAAACGCGTCAGGCCAGCGACTCGTCTAAGAAAGCCCATTTCAGCAGCTCATACCCGGGTTCGAACTTTTTCAGTGATGGTCCACGATTCATGACCGTAGATGAGCATGGGGATAAAGATCAACTTGAACACCGTAAGCGTCGTTTTCAGACTGAGCTCTGCTTTAGTCACAATGGATCGGGCTAGCAGGTTCGGATCGCCGACTTTTCGCAGTCTGCCTCAGTGCCCCAACAGGCCTGCGTGGCCCTTGGTAACCCGCACGACGACCGAGCCCGTATAATTTTCGATGGCGTCAATACCATGAATGGCAGGAAGCTAAATTTTGCGGAGACTTCGCCACGGTCTACAACCCTCCTCCTTTCTCAACCGGGCTTGAAACCGGCGACGGCAGAACTAAAATTGGCTATGTGAAAATAGGAGCTAGCGTTTAGCTTAAAATGGGAATATTTCAACATTCAAAAGCAGTCCAATTGTTTCAAGCTCGTGTGACTATTTTGAATTCAGTGGATCAAGAACTATGTTAATAGTTTAAATTATTTGTTGCAACTTTCTTATATTTACCTACCATTTATCTTTCATGTATTTCTATTCATATGTGTGGCAGATTTTGTTTCGCAATAATCTTTTGACAGAAACGTTTACACATCAATTTTTTCATCCTATCTCAGCACTGTCGTATGTTTTCGCTAGTTGCTTTACTGTAAGAAGCCTCTGCTTTGGATTTATAACCTGATTATTTCAAAATACGCATATACAAAAGCCGCTGAAATCAAAGAATTTCTTTCCACAGTCTCTGATGAAGAATAAGCTCAAGGCAGAGATTAAAGGTAAGAACAAATAATAGACATAATCTGTTTATTAACGTTTTGTAAAAACACCTTAGTAAACGATGATTTTTTGTTTCTGATTGCTTTTGGTTTTGAAATTGGCACGGACAGGAATCTTAAAACTTGTTACGACGAAGTAAGGCAATTTTTTCTGATTGGGGTATTGATCTGTTTAAAGAAGGGCATGGTTTCCATTTTAGATGAAGCGTGTTGGATTATTTTCGCTATTGAATCCACGATAACGCATCCTCTCTGTTTTGATGCGATCCATCATGAGTGACTTTATATCAGTTCATGAGCGTTGGCGAAGGTCAACAATTGCAGCAGTCTATACGACTGTTATCTGCTTTTCAGTAGTCTGTTTCGCTTGTAGGCCGGTAAATGTCATTTATGGGGAAGCTGTGACAGTTTAGTTTGCTCCCTTTTAGTGCAATTCAATTTTATTGCATGGTTCTTTTGATCCTACACGAGTATCTCTGCGTGGTTTTCAAAGTAGAAAGATACACAAATACAGTGTCAGCATTATTCCATACAGCATACATTTTATTCATTGAGCTTTGGAATCTCCTATACAAAGAAGAGGCCATGCAGAAGTAGGAAGATGCGGAGAGAGGTCAGTTGAAGAAGCGGATCACTGAAAACATGATGGTCTCAGCAGAGCAGATGAGAAGAACTCGCTGTGACAGAGCACAGCATATTAAAGAACCACGTTAGAAATATTTGAGGGAAGCGACATTGTCCACACAAAAGTCTACCGGTAAAAAGAAAGATGTGGAGGCAGTCAAAGTGAAATGGATAAAGTAAAAGACTAACATGCGCTAAAAATCTGCGGTAAAAAGAAAAATGTGGAGGCAGTCACAGTGAAATGGATAAAATGAAAGACTAACATGCGCTAAAAATCTGTAAGATCACGCCAACATGGCTTGATTTGTTACATGTTTGAAATGTCATTAAGAGCTGTATGTTATTTGAACTTCCATAAGGTTTTCGTTGCAAATTCATTACCTGACCTTTCTGTTTCTTTAATGCAAAGAACATTCATATGCATCAAGAAAAGCCACCACCCCGACACAAAAACAAAAAGCGGTAGGACAGATACACCATTCTTGGCACTCTGCTATCTTGAGATGCAAGATCATTGTGAATTTTTGTCCGGATTCAACTGGGGGTTGAATTAAATCCATAATTTATTTAAAATAACTTTTTAGAAAATGTATTTGACTCCACATATATTTAGAAACTTTGATGCAAAACTGCTGCTTGAATTTTTTGATAGCATCTTTTGAAAAGTCATGCTATTTTTCTGTCGTTTTATTAAGTAATTATGCGAATTTTTATTCAGCTATCTTCTGAAAATCATGAACGATTCAGTGAATGTATTTCATGCAGGCATAAATAAATTTATTCTCCTCGTCTTTCTTCATTTAAACATTGAAACTGAATACCTTCGATTTTGATTTCAGAATTTC